AAAAAAAAAAAAAAAAAAAATTCGAAAAAATCCGGAAAAAAACTATGTTATGCAGAAAAATAAACTGAACAACTTTTGCCTCAGGGTCACATCGAAATTCTTTACCAAATTTAAAATAAAAAAATAAAATTTAAAAATAATTTATTATTTTTATTCTTTATGGCCCGGCCGGGCAAGTGACCCCGGGCCACTCTGGTAGCCTAGTAAATAAATAAATAAATAAATAAAATGTTGGTGAGCCATTTGGCGTAGACCACATGGGGGATCTGCAAATGGCTGACCAACATCGTTTGGATGAATCACAAAATTGTGCCCCACCACGCGCAGACCACATGGGTGATCTGCAAATGTCTGAGCAGCAAGCAACCCAAGACATTTTGGGATTGCAACACCAACTGGGTGATCTGCAAATTGTTGGCCATCATCATCCGGCACACGAGCCTGAGATCCTCACCAATCTTTGTTGTCTGACTGCGACTAATACATGTCGTCACATTCTCCACCGCCCGTTTTATACACCATCAGACTTCCTTGCAATCACCCTTCAGCTTGATGCTGATCTCCCCCACCTACAGCCAGAGGACTGTAATTATACCAGGGAAAGAGGCTTTACCATTGCTGTCCTACAAGTAGCAATGAGGGACCGCTAAGTTTAGCTACTCAATGCTCAGCAGGTGAGTGGTTTAACCGTCCATCCCACATGTTTGCCTGCATTGTGAGCGGACTTGGCCATTACGTGGTCATTGTACGTACCTCCGACCACTGGGGAGTGTGGGACAACGGCATCATGGTCCATGCCATGACTGATGTCACTGATTTCTTACATAATGATGCTGTTTTCTTGCCACACCAAACTCTCCGCAATGTCTTATCATTCCTCTGGCCGCGTGCTCCGGCAGGACAATGTACCAACACTCTGCAACCTTCTCCTTTGCACAACTACAGACATTGTTACACTCGGCTGTAGCCGCCATCGTCTCTGTCACATCACTACAATGACATGGTTTCTGCATCCATGTGTGTAGAGGGTTGTCTCTCCATTCCTGACTGCAGGCACCCTCCACATCTGGACACTAAATGTCCATTTTGCGGCCATGGGCCCTTATACTGAATGCATGGTCTTTTGTGGTGAGCGTTCTTCCTTCATTTTTGCGTGCAATCGACATGCCATTCGTTGGGGGTGTATGGTGGGCATGCTCAATGCCACCCGTCGTGGCAATTGTTGCACTGAGAATGCTCAGCTAGGTGTTCCATGTGACCGTCCACATCATCTTTACAATGTATGTCCTCTCTGTCGTCAAGGACAGACTCGTTCTTGAGCCTTTTCTTGTCCTTACTTTCCCTTTTCCGTTCGTTGTTCGTCTTCTCTTCGTCTCTCTTCCCTGTGTTTATCACCTCCCTCTTTACTCTGCCTCCTTTTCACAACGTACAAGTGCGCCGTTATGGCGCACGGGGATGCAGGAAGCTCATGCTCAACTTCATCAGCCTGTTGAGCCTTGTACGTGAGAGGCAAGGTGAAGGGGGAGCTAAAAGAAGAATGAGAAAAATGAATGGTTTCAGTGGTGCCCCCCATCTTTGTCTTGTCTTGTTTTTTTTTTTTTTTTTTTTTTATCTTTACCGTTTGTTTTGCAAAGTGCGCTCTTTTAGTCCATAGTTATTTGACCATATTGATTTTTTTTATTTTATTTTTTTTCCAGTGACCATATTGAATATACATATATGTCGTGGCGGTTTTACCTTATTCTGATGTTGATGTGGATGTGGACGCTAATGATGATGATGCTATTGGTGGTGGTTTTCCCAAAAGTGAAGGACAAAAAAATAATGATGTTGGTGGTAGAGACGATGACTGCATTACACTTCTTCTTCTTCTTCTTCTTCTTCTTCTTCTTCTTCTTCTTCTTCCGGTGATGATGATGATGATGAGGAGGAGGAGGAGGAGGAGGAGGAGGAGGAGGACAATGCCAATGATGGATTTTTTGACTGTGACAGGTGATTGTGAACTTCACTCGAGCGAAAAGCCGTTCAATGAGTGGAACCTTCCATCTTCGACATGAAGATATTATGAGAATTGATGAGATAAGCAAGAAGATTGAGAGGATGGTTCAGGAGCACTCTTTTACGACAGGAAGTCCAAGAGTGACGCTGGGGTCACTCAACATGTTTGGCTTGGAGCTACGGCTATCGTGCGAAATCAAATCAGCTGTAAGTATAAAATTCATATACATATTATAGAATTAGTAAAAATAAAATAAATAAATGAAAATAATATAGAAAGTTAGGAACAGAAAATCAGTATAAATAATATCACACCTTTCTCTACAGCTATCCTGCAATATCAAATCAGCTGTAAGCATAAAAATTGATAAAATTACTAAATTAGTAAATTACTATGCTGGGATACCAACCAGGCCGTCTGGGTCACCCTGCTTGCCCGGGCGGACCGGCTGGGCAAGGGTCAGGGAAGTTCGCTGCAAAAAAACAAAATCCCAAAAAAGTTTAAAAAACTATGTATGCAGAAAAGTAAACTGAGCAACTTTTGCATCAGGGTCACATCGAAATTCTTTACCAAAAAATAAATAAGTAAAAATGAAATATTATTTCAAATATATCCATTTGACAATACATAATATTATGAATACACATATATATTATATATTTATTGTTACAGCCCCTCGTTTGTTGTCCTCTTCTCCCTCTTGTCCCTCTCTGCCTACGGTTTACTGGAGGCAGTTCCGTTTGACAATATATATATATTCACCGACTCATCAGGAGGCTGATATATCAGCCTCCTGATGAGTCGGTGAAACTCCAACGAAACAGTTTGTCACAGCCCTTGTTTATATATATGTGAACCGACAGTCTGTAGAGTTTTCCATCTGGTGTGGGTGAGTGATAGTCTACTTTGATTTTTGTTAAGGTAGAGTATCATTTACAGTGTAATCAGTGAGGGGATTCTGCAGACTGTTGAGGGTTCAGCCTCCTGACGAGTCGGTGAAACTCCGACGAAACAGTTTGTCACAGCCCCTCGTTTGTTGTCCTCTTCTCTCTCTCTGCCTACAGTTTACCGGGCAGTTCTGTTTGTGACGATATATTAGTCTGTAGAGTTTTCCATCTGGTGTGGGTGAGTGATAGTCTACTTCGATTTTGGTTAAGGTAGATTATCATTTACAGTGTAATTATTTTTTTTCCATCTGGTGTGGGTGAGTGATAGTCTACTTCGATTTTGGTTAAGGTAGATTATCATTTACAGTGTAATCAGTGAGGGGATTCTGCAGACTGTTGAGGGTTCAGCCTCCTGATGAGTCGGTGAAACTCCGACGAAACAGTTTGTCACAGCCCCTCGTTT